CTCTCTCTCCCTCCCTCTCCCTCTCTCCCTCTCCAGTCTCTCTCCCTCTCTCTCTCCCCCTCTCTCTCTCCCCCTCTCCCTCACCAGCCTCTTTCTCTCCCTCTCTTTCTCTCCCTCTCTCTAAGCTATTATGAAAAACCCGAGAGCATAAACTTCTCTGTCCTGATGATGTCGGAAAAAAAAGATACAGCTTTACCTCTGACACCGGAGACTCCTTGCATAAATGTTAAATAAATGTCTCGTCTCCTAACATAAATACACACGTTTTCTTAAAGATCTATTCATGTGTAGCGTCCACCATACAAGCAAGCTGTTACTATAGAAACGATAACGTATTAGAACAAGTGCGTTAATATAAACCTATTATTTGCAGCTGGACTACTGTCAGAGATGCTGTTATTGAAAACTGATCAACACTTTCTGACCAATCAGAGTTGAGAATTCAGCAGCAATGTGGTAAAGATTTTGTTGTAGTAATACATGAATTCCAGCTGTCCCCTTCTGGGGACACATTTCCTAAAAATCACCTACAAATTATTTTAAAGGCTGCTGACGTCTTCTACACAGAGTAATAAAATGCAAGAAATCCTGCTTCTTCGAATGTGCAAATTAGAAATGACTATATTTTGCATGTTGAGCATGACGGACTCTCACCCAATAACAGTTTAATTAACATTTCTGTTATCAGTTATCTGGCATGTTAGTTCTCTTGATATGATCCTGGATCATGTGATACAAAAGAAAATGGATCAAGAAAGATAAATTTCAGAAATTGATTAAAAATACTAATTTTAAATGTTTTTAATTTTCTATGTAAATAGGATATGAATATTTAAAAAAAAATATATACCAGTTTTTCAGCTTCGGTGTTCATCTCCTTTAAATGCTTTATGTGCTCCTTTTTAATCATGAGTATTTTGGACAATCGTGTCTGAAAGAAACAAAAAAGGGAAATGAATCAAAGAATGTTTTAAAAAAAAAAAAAGGTCCATATAAAACAGGTTTGTTTGCCTGGTCATACTCACGACTTGTACGAGAAATTTGACAGGGAATCCTCCGAGCGTCTCTCCGTCACTTCCTGTCAGTTTATTCTTCCAAGGCGACTGACTAAACAGAGGATCGCTGTCCTGTAGGCACACAGTGAGAGGATCCATGTTTACGTCATCGTTACACACTCATTCTGCGTGATTAACGAGGTTTTAAAACGTTCCTAAAGAGATAACGTCTGCTCGTTACCATTAAGATGGGTTGGGTCGAGCCAGGATACGTCCCCCGTGGTGGAGTCATGAAGTTCGGGTAGCGGGATGGTCGCTGTTTCTGAGCGAAAGCAGATATGGGCATCGTCTCAGGAGGCTCGTTACTCTGCAAAGAAAAAAATAAATAAATAAATAAAAGATTGTGGTTTTCACTGGTTCTGACATATTATACAGTTTCATTATAATGAAACTGTCCTAAAATCAAGAACAAATAAATGCATAACTATGTGGTTTAGGGGTTTGTCATGATTTTATATCTTGGTCCCCACATGGATAGAAATGTCTGACAGTTTTAACATAGTTTTCTCCACAAGAAAAACGGCTTTTAAAAAAATCTAAAAGATCCAAAAGGTTAAATTTTGGTCACTGAGTTTACGGTTAGTTTTAGATTTAGATGTAGGCATAGCATTAATAATTATCCTCGTGCAGGTCCTCACAAGGATAGCAAGACAAATGTGTGTGTGTGTGTGTGTGTAGACTGTAGGAGTCAAATATACAGCCAAATATACAGTACTGTGCAAAAGTCTTAGGCACCCTATTTTTTTTTTTTTTAAGTACAAACTTTGTTATAGATTTTATTTTATAGATTTTTATCTACATTATTGATTCAGTACAAAAACATTTTAGATTCTAAACATTAGTTTTCCAGCACAAAATGAAATTAAACAGAAAAATGTTTGTATGTCAGTAAAGAAAGCAGCAGATGACATAAGAGACACTTTTCAGATAAAAACAGAATGAAGGCTGCTGGGTTTCGCTGCAGAAATAAGAAGCGAGTCGACAGTCAAAGTCTCCAGAAGAACTGCGGCTGCTTCTGCAAGATGCTCAGTAACACTTACAGCTCATTTCCTTATCAAACTGCACACACTGCACCTGAGACACTGTTTTTTTTTATTAAAGCGAAGGATCGTCACACCAAATATCGACTTTGTTTCATTTATTACTGTTTACTGCTCTTTATAGTATTTTTTTTAAATGTAGAACCATTTAATTTCATCATTTCTGAAGGCATCTCTTCTCTACAGCATTTCTTTGCATGAGCCTTTTGCACAGAACTGTACTTCTAGAGTAAAAACGGAAGAACAGCCAGAATGTAAGTGAGGTGGAACTGTTGGTGAGGTGAGAATCGGAGACACATCTCGAACAGCACTTTCAGTTTTAAACTGGTCTGAAGTTCTGCATTACGCAGCTGTGGCTGTTACAACAGAATGTACTTGTAGAATTAGTTTTAATGGGATTTACGTTTTTAACCGTGTATCACACTCACCTGTTTTTTTTTTTCCCCTTCACGCTTTTTCGGGCTGAATATTAAATAGTGTGCACTATATAGTGTGCTACTTAGCATACGAACACACGTTTAATATTGCTGTTCCTCTTTCGGCTGCTCCCGTTAGGGGTCGTCACGGCGGATCACTGGTCTGCGTATTTGATTTGGCACAGTTTTTAATGCCGGATGCCCTTCCTGACGCAACCCTCCCCAGTTTTATCCGGGCTTGGGACCGGCACTGATAGCGCACTGTTGCACGCAACCCCAGTGGCTGGGGCTGGTTCCCAGGCCGGGAATCGAACCCGGGCCGCAGCGGTGAGAACACAGTGGCCTAATCACTAGTCCTCCAGGAA